CAGACAACTAAATAGATATGACAAATGAATGCAACCCATGATCCTTGATAAGATTCTGGATCGGGGAAGAGGCGCCTGGTTGGCTCGGTCGTTAAGCGACTGCCTTCGGCTCAGGTCATGATCCTGGAGTCCCGAGATCGAGTCCCACATCGGGCTCCCTGCTCGGGGGGGAGTCTGCTTCTCCCTCTGACCCTCCTCCCTCTCATGCTCTCTGTCTCTCATTCTCTGTCAAATAATAAAATAAAATCTTTAAAAAAAAAAGTGTCATATGGGAAAAGGTCTCTTCTTTTCAAAGAGAAAAGAGAAAAGAAAAGGAGGAGGGAAGGAGGGAGGGAGGAAGGAAGGAAGGGAGAGAGAGAAAGGGGGGAGGGAGGGGAAAGGAAAAGAAAAGAGAAGAAGAGAAAAGGAAAAAAGAAAAGAAGGAGGAGGGAGGGAGGGAGGAAGAGAGAGAAAGAGGGGGGAGGGCAAGGGAGGGGAAAGGAAAAGAAAAGAAAAGAGCTGTGAAATGTAATAAAAATAAGTAGTTGGAGCATCCCCCGCCATGGACGCCCTTAACCATCTCGCTATTTAGGAGGCAGAGAGAACTTTCCACCCTGCAAGCTCAACCTCACATTTGCCCAGTGGCCTGGCTCTTTACCACCACCTGAGCTGCATGGTTTGGGACTGTCACACTCTCGTCTGAGACAGAAAAGCCTCTGTCCCTCTTTTATTTGTCTTTGCTTTATGCATAGCTTTCATTCCTTTTTTGACCCTGGACAGCGGAGCCGCTAAACCGTCCTTGCCCTTGATCTTTTGTCCCCAGTTCTCCTGGGCTGCTGCTTTGTAGCAAATGATATTGCTAGGCTTTTCCACAGGAGTTCCTCAAGTTCACACAATTCTTGGAATACACATAGGCCTAATTTCAAAACCAGAAAAGAAGGAAGGAGGGAGGGAAGGAAAGCGGGGGGAGGACTCAATACATCAAAACAAAACTTTCTTTTTCTTTTTTGTCTCTCAGATACAGAGGGCTAGGTCGATCACACTTCTTCATGCAACCAACATCATCGCTGGTCCATTCAAAGTCGCTCTGCTTTTAGTTATTCATTTTATCCCCTTCTCTCACTTCCTTTCAACTTGCCATAGGCAACCATCCTAATATGTACTTAGGTGTTTTCATTAAAATATTTAATGTTTTGTGTGCATGTATTTTAATTCTGCAAGTAGGATTTTATATCTTCAATTTCTTACTTGTTGCTCTCGGTACCATGACTCTAAGATCCACACAGGCTGCTGTGTGTGCCTTTAGACTCTTGCTTCTAGCTGCTGACCTATTAGTTAGGTATGTACTGTCCACGCTACCAATCTCCCACTCAGTAATGGACACTCAGTTTGCATCCAACCCCCCTGCTGCCACAATGCCTTGAAGAAAATCCTTACACAGGTTCCCTTAAGTAACCGTGTCAGAACTTCTCTGGGATGTATACAGGAGTAGAATCGCAGGGTGGATTTGGAGACAGTTGTTCACACTGCTAAAAATTTCTGGCCTCATAAAAGCACCCATCAGAGTAGGGAGCACCTTCAAAGGGAGTACGTTCAAATGGTTATTGGCAAATCTGCTTAGAAACTGCTGCCAATTGAAGATGAATCAGGATAGAAGACATGACATCTCTAAAATAAAAATATAAGTCAGTGGGAAAAACAGCTTTGAATTCATAGAACCACATTCTGCGCCTCACTTCATGAGAATACATCTAGTGGCAAAAGCTTGGTACACCTGCCTCACCCACCTGTCTCCCCATTCTCTGGCCCCCAGGCCTCGTCCTTGCCCCAGCCACATCCACAAAGCTACCTGCTATTTGCTCAGTGGCTCCTTTATGGTAAGAACTTTATTTTTATTCTCATTACTCCTGCCTTTCCTGATCTGCAGCATCAACCTCAGCTGCAAAATTTCATCTTGCACTAGGGCTGTTCTATAGTCACTGGGGACAGCCAGGGCATGATCTACAGCTTCTCTCACTTCTGTCCAACCTTTGCTCCTCATCCCTCATCCCTACATCAATCAAAAGCTCAGGCAACCTCCCTGGTCAAACCTGAGCCAAACTGCTCTCCTGGGAGCCACACTATGCTCGCTTTTGGAGGAGGAGGCTGCTTGCTGAGAGGCTCCAGTTTCTGGGTTCCATTTGCATGAATAAACAGCTCTGAAGGGTTCGTTTTAAGCTTTTATGTAAACACTCTCCAAAATATGTTCTGTACTGCATTATCCCCAGCAATAAAGATTCTGGAATCAGAATTTGGCTGTCCGTTTTATTGATGTTGCATGGGGTACAGTAGAATACAGCTTTCTCTTCTGGAAATTTATTGACTTGGCAGTACAGAGAGCAATAAAACTGTGTTTTTAATCAGTAAGCCAAGCGGACATGATTCCAGAAGAAATATAGGAAGCAAATGTGCCATCATAAGAAGATTTCTCCCCCCACTGTCCCTGTTCTTCTTGGATGCCCTGTTAAATAAGTTTGGGTATTGAACAATGCGCTTGGTGGGACTGTCTTCAGGAATAAAATCAGAGGACCAAGTTTGGATTACTTCCTCTAGGTTGTACCATCTCTAAGAGACTGTTGAGTAAAAGCTTTTCTCTGAAATGAAATTTCTTTGCAGTAGCCCCTAGAGAAGAACTGTTGGTAAGCTGCTCTGCAGGAGAAATTACGAGAGTGCAGCATTTCTCTTCTCAAGAGAAACAAGATTACAGTGCCTGTCTCTCCACCTTGCTCACTGACAGAGAGTGGGTTACCTGTACAGACCAGAAGGAAATGAAATCACTATCTCTAAGAGCTATCTGCAACCCATGTTCACTCCAGTAGTATTCAAAACAGCCAAGATATAGAAACAACCGAAGGGTCCTTCAATTGATGAATGGATTTTAAAAATGTGGTAATTACACACACATACACACACACACAGAGGAATATTTTTCAGCCATAAAAAAAGAAGGAAATCCTGCCATTTGTGATATAGCATAGATGCATCTGGAGGGCATTATGCCAAGTGAAATAAGCCAGACAGAAAAAGACAAATACTATATGGTATCACTTACATGTGGAATCTAAAAGAAAAAAAAAAACAGCCAATTTCCTACAAACAGAGAAGAGAATCATGGGTGCCAGGGGCTGCGGGGAGGGGGATCTGAGGAGCTATAGATCAAAGGGCACAAACTTTGAGTTATAAGACTATCTTCTGATGATCCAATGAGAGTAGATTTTAAATGTTCTCACCCTCCCCCAAAAAAGAGTTAACTATGTGAGGTGACAGATGTGTTAATTTTCTTAATCTTTGTAATGATTCCACAATGTATGTGTATATCAAATCACCACACTATACACTTTTAAGTATATACAATTATGGGACACCTGGGTGGCTCAGTTGGTTAAGCATCTGCCTTTGGCTCAGGTCATGATCCCAGGGTCCTGGGATCAAGTCCCACGTCGGGCTCTCTGCTCAGCAGGGAGCCTGCTTCTCCCTCTGCCTGCCGTTCCCCCTGCTTGTGCATGTGCGCACACTCTCTCTCTCTCTCTGACAAATAAATAAATATCTTTAAAAAATAAGTATACACAATTATATTTGTCATTATTCCTCAATAAAGTTTGGGGTGGGAGGAGAAAGAGACTGGGTTAGAAATCACATACTTTGGCCCAATATCACACCATAGAAAGACTATTTGGGCTCAGTCTGCTTGGTCATGTTACTTTGTTCAGGATACTGAATCTCTTTGTGATCTAGTTCTTTTGCTATCAAAGGGAAATACCCACCTCACACCATCGTTGAATGGATAAAATAAGGTTACAGGCGGGAGTGCACAACTCACATAGCACCTTACACCAGTAGCAAGTCCCTTCTGAGACTGTAAGACATCTCCCTGATTCAAATACACTCCTGATGCCGAAGGTGTTCTTTCCTGGCAACCAAGACAGTCTGCTTTGTAGACACGTGAAAAGCAAGGCAGCATCTCCCACCTCTACTCTCAAATTTCTGATACTCACTTCCCACCTGAAATGTCCTCATCCACTCCCCTCCTCTCTGCCAGTATTTGGTCCAAAACCCTGAACCATTGTAGATGCTTGATAAATGTTGGTTGAACATTCATCCCTGCTTTGCAGATGCTTTCTTCTGAGTTATCTTAAGCCCATTTTCCTTTAGCAGGTGTACATCACCCTGTTCTGCTTTTGCTATTGCTGAGTAATTGCTCTTTTCTCAACTTTTACGTAATGGATAACTTTTATCTCAATTCAAGAACACTTAGATTGTTCCTCTGAATATAGGTGAGTGCCTGAAGGAAATGTTCTATAGATATTCCCCCAAAATGGCATGAGATGCCCATGTAATTGAGCTATCATAGCAGCCACCTGGTCTGGTTGGGAGGATACTGAAATCAACTGTCTGGGGAAGATGGTATATCTCAAAATAGGAACATGTTCCTAGTGAATCTTCCCTTCTGCTGCCTGCCTGGTTTCCAATTGTATTTTCACCAGTCACTTCCCCACTTTACCCAAGACAGTTTCTTTTCCCTCTTCCCAACCAGGCCTATGCGGCCACTCTAGAACTACTTATCAACTATTGACTTGGTGCCAAGCCCTGTTCTTTACATGGCTTATATTGATTAGTCATCATAACAACCCTGTGAAGCAGGAATTATTATTCCAATTTTATAGATGAAGAAACTGAAATAGAGGGCCTACATACCATCCTCAGGATCACCTGACCAAGTAGTGAGAGAGTGGGGATTTGAACCCAGGTGTGTCTGAGCCCAAAGTTTGGGATCTTACTTACAAAATAACATACTCTTTGATAAAGACCAAGTGTGAGTCATGGCACATCTCGTTATTGATGTAAGTTAGAATTCTCCACCTGAATTCAGTCGTTGGAATTCTGTATTCACACACATTTGCGCGCGCACACACACATTTTATTCATGAACTTAAAAGGTACCCAGTCTTAAATATTAAACTCTTGGCTTTCCTCTCTTCTTTTCTAGGTCACTCACCTATCTCCCTATCAAACTAATCCCATCTCAAGCTTTCAGAGGACTTAATGAGGTCATAAAAATGTAAGTAAGATACTGCATACCAAAAGACATTCATAATTGGAATAATAAAATTTTTGTAAGGGAAAACATAGTTGAAAAGGGATAATGTTTCTAGGAGAGAAACTGTGTTAAAGAAACCCCAGTATTTTTATCTTTATAATACAAATAATATCTAGGGACCTTTGAAGAAAAGTATGATTTTCAAGAGTCATTAAATTCTGGATAATTAACCTTGCTTCAGTGAACTGAATGCATTTTGATAAGTGATGATAAACTTCTCAAGTAGAAAAGAAAATAGATTCCAATCACAAAAATTCTCCTTCTGCTAGAGCAGTTATTCCCTTGTGTCACATTTTTAGATAACACCCACACAGAAGAAAATGTGTTGGAGGTTTATTGTGCATCAGAAGATAATCTTTATATCTAAAATATAATAAGTGTATGACACACAGTATTTATAGCTGTATTGATAAAAGGCCTTTATCAAAAGTGCAAAGCAACCCGATAATACAGCGTGATCTCACATTTGTGTCAGATGTAACTTCAATCCGTTCTCCCTGGGTCTCAGCCTCCAGGGCATAAGACACCATACATGAGAGAGAACTTTCTCAGGAGCCCAGTATTCCAGCATCCTCCTTAATGTTAGTCTGTGTGAAAGGACCTCAAAGGTCATTTAGTTCCTAGAAAGCATCTCTGATCTTAACAATCCATGGGGCTTTTGAAGCCAATTTACATCTTTAAAGATGCTGCATCATCAATCCTAGCTCCTTGGGGAGCCTCTATTCTTTAGGGTATTAGCAAGCAATGAGGATATTAAAAATAATCCCCAAGAATTACAGAAATGTCAGTTTCCTTGAATCTAACCCTTATTCTTCTCTCAAGTTTAAATGTTGAGTTTTGATAACTTTTAATGCATTACACTTCCTCATAAGAAAAGTAGCCACAGCTAAAGAAACAAACCATTAGGTACGAATAAAATGAATCAGTCCAGGAACAATCCATTACTGTGTTGTTCATAAAAGACATTAACTGCCTTAGGCTCAGCCTTTCTGTGGGCTAAAGCTCTCAAGTCTGAAGGCTTCAGTGAATGTTAACCTTAGAAACACTCAAATGTACAGTTTGTGAATTTGAGACTTTTTTCTCAGCTGGTAGCAAATGGTAGCTTATGTTGGGATTTTAGGGGAACATTGACATTATTTGCGTGCCTGGGATGGTATATGACAAAGCTGGTTCCTTTATGTTTGTGTCTTTTTAAAAAATCCATTCATGGGTGCCTGGGTGGCTCAGCTGGTTGGGCATCCGACTCTTGGTTTCAGCTCAGGTTGAGATCTCGGGGTCGTGAGATCAAGCCTTGAGTCGGGCTCTACGCTTGGGATTCTCTGCGTCTCCCTCTGCCCTTCCCCCCATTCACTCTCTCTCTCTCTAAAATAAATAAATACATAAAATCTTTAAAAATTCATTCATACTCTATGCACCAGGCAATATGAAGTCACCACAGATTCAGAAGTGAACAGGATATACTCCTTCTCCTCAATTTGCTAAAAGAGAAAAATGGTCAAATAAATAGACAGTTACAACCCAAAAAGGACACTATGTGCAGAAATTGACCACCTTGCAATTGCCTCAGAACAGGATTTTGGGAAAAGGAGAAAGAATTATGAAACAATGAAAGCAACCCACATTAAAACCTCACTAGAGTGATGGAGTTGGGAATTCAGACATCTGGATCCTGGTCCTGAGCCTTCCCAAAAGCACTTTTTGACTGTCCTCTGGAGACTCTCAATTTCCAAAGCTGATCTCACTAGATTTTCTCAAAAGACCTGTCCACTTCTAACAATCTGTGACTCTGAGTCACAAGAAAAAAACCTGTCACATAAACAGGGGTTACTGAAACCTGCATTTCAACTGCACCTGGGTTATAGACACCCATCAATGCTCCTAAAGGGAGATGGTGGCACTTTATGATGTGAGGACAACGTGAGACATCCCTGTTCTTTTTTAAAAGGACACACTGGAGCCCCCAGTTGTTGGGTCACACACACAGCTTATTATGATGCATGCATGGTCATTTCTTTCATGTTTCTTTTTTTCTCTCTCTCTCTCCCCTAGAGAAATCTCTCAGAGTGATTCTCTGGAAAAGGTAGAAGCTAATGCCTTTGACAACCTCCTCAATTTGTCTGAAATGTAAGCATCAGCTAACAGATAGTTTATTGCTGTACACTATTACCCTTGCTGGCTGGAGCCCACTCAGTATTTGTATTCAAGCAGCCACTGCTAGGAATCCAAGAGGAAAAGACTACAGCAATTACTAGGTCTGGGCAGGCACTAATTTCTCTCACTGCAGTGGCCTGAGGGTTGCCATGGTGACAACTGCTTCTCCCTGGGAGCTGTATAAACTCTGAAACATCACAACACAAAGTTGGAAATTAAAATTGACATTGTGGAGTCCTGCCAAGTAGCTCTTACCTTATGGAAGGGAGGGAATGAAGTCCCTGGGATAGTGGGGAAATTTGAAAGGGAGCTTAGAGATCATGAATTAGTTCATTGAGGACTGTTCATTTATTTAGTAAATGATTCTTGGAAATCTACCATGTAAAACCCTGTGCTGGACATGTGTATGTGGTTTGTCATTGTTATTGTGATGGTTTAGAATTGATTCTTAAAAACAGTCCCTTCCAAATTATTACTTTCCTCCAATATACAAAAAAGAGGGGTGAAGACTGGCTTGATTCAGTTTTCAGATGATGAACCTCTGACCCAAAGAGGTTAACTGACTTGCGTGATGACACACAGCAAGTCAGTGCTAGAGCTGAGGCTAGGAATTGGGTCGTGTGACTCCCAAACCAGTCTTCTTACTGCTGCCTTATTTGGTTCAAACCTGAGCTTCTAAAAATGTCACCTGCATGGGAGTTTTGAAAGTTAAGGGAAAGGGAAGGATATTAGCAACAAACATTTTCTGAGCACTTGTATCTGGCATTTATTTCCTCGAGGTTGTGTTAATCCTCACAGCTTCCCTGCAAAGTGGAGTAGTTCTCCCTTTTGTCCAAGGGAAGGAAGGGAGGCTCAGACAGGTCAGTAACTGGACCAGTGTGGCACCATAGACAATGGCAGGGCTGAGTTTCCACCCCCGCCTCTCTTTTCTTCAAAGCTGTGCATTTCCCACCACACCACAAGGCCTCCCTATGAATGGTCCAATTAGCAATTATCTAAAGAGAATAGCTGACTGGTAAGTATGTGAGTACCCGCCACATGTCCAACCAAGGGTCAAGTGCTGCTGGAATACAGAGGAGGTAAAATATAAATCTTCCCCAGAAGATGACAGTACACTCAGGGAGGTGAGACTACCTCACCAACTGATTATGGGGAAATCCAAAATAATGGGTATTCAAATGCAGATTTATAGTCTGGACTTGGCTATGAAGTAGAATTGGGGGGTGGGGAGTGGAGGAGAGAGGAGGTCATCACCATTACAGATGACAGTACTATCCCAGACCTAGAAATCTGCCCAAGTGATGATGAAGCACAGCTTATACTGAGAACCACCAGAACAGCTTAAGATACAGTGCTCATGATGCAACAGAAAGAAAAATAAAATGCTCTAAGGGAAGTTTATGGACTTATCCAAAGGAAGGCCCTGACACTAGGATGTTAGCTCCATACAGGCTCTCTTTGTTCAGAGCTGTAACCCCAGTACCTAGAACAACGCCTGGCACATGTAGGTGCTTAATAAATGTTTGTTGAGTGAGGGAATGTATGGATGAGTAGTTTAAGGTCAGACCCCAAAAGATCTTTAAAAGTTCCTTCCACCTACCTACATAATGCTTTATATGGCCCATGATTACTTGACTAAGTTGTTGTAAAAATAATTACAACAAAACATCACTCACCTCTAAAGAATCAAAAGAACATAAAAGATGGAAATAGGCACAAATGGTGGGTAACTATAGTAAGGGGGAAAAAACACTAGACTCAGAGTCCAAAAAATTGAGTTCACTTCCAAGTGGGGCTACTTCTCAGCTGTGTGACTAGAGACAAATTATTTAACATCCTGGTTTCATCAACTATAATAATTGTTAACACTGGTTGAAGCCTTACTGTGAGCCAGAAACACACATTTACTTCTCAAAAACTACCCTATGAAGAAACAGAGCTTTAAATGATGTATCCAAGGTCATACAATTAGTAAAACCAAACTGACTGCAGAGCCCCTCCAACTTACCAATACACTATATTTTCTCTATAGAACAAGAGTAACTATCATTTCTTCAGGTGGTTGTGGCATGGGGTAAGAGAGTCAAAGGCATTTGCTGGCCTTTTACTGAATCCGAAGTAGACAGGCAACTGTGGCTACTTCTCAAAGGGTCAAAGTCCCTGGAGAAGTAGGGAGAAGGGCAATCATACCACTGTGGAGTCATAGCTGTACTTTTATACTATACAGAGCCCTGCCTCTGACATTATCTCTACCTATTCTATTACTCACTACATACCAACCTATGAGGTAGGAAGAGTGCATATTATTATTCCAAAATTATAGAAGGTCACACTAGCTCAGGGAAGTTAGGAGGCTGTGCATCGTCACACAACAAATTATCTATAACAATGGGCATAAAATCCCCCCAAATCCAAGCCCCCGGATTGATCCAAAGACTGAGTGCCTGTCTGGATCATTGGTCAGTGTGGCTGCCAGCCGAGTATGGACAAGACCAGTTTGCCTATAAGGGAGAGTAGCCAATTTGCTCATCTGACCTGGGAGCGGAATCTCCCATCACCCCCAGTGTGTAGGCTCCGTGCTGAGAGCCGGGAGTCCTGGAAGTTGGTGCTGCCTCACCGAGTGGGATGGAACAGACTCCCAGCTATGATGTTTATACCTTCCTCAGCAAGAGGTTGAGAGCAGAGCTTCCTGGCAAGAGCCAACTGGCTCTCACCATGCAGTTTTTATCCCCAGGCTCCTAGGAGCTCCCCTCCAGCATATGAAGTCTCTTGATTTTTGTTGATGCCATTTTCAGCCAGCATCCTCTGGTAACGATGGTCTTGTACTTTCCAAACAATACACATTTCTTAAATTGCTCCTTCTCTCTTTACAGACTGATCCAGAACACCAAAAACCTGGTGTACATCGAGCCTGGAGCATTTAGAAATCTCCCCCGGTTAAAATACCTGTGAGGATTTTTCCTTTTTGAGCAACTGAGGAGGGAAATTGGGTATCTGATGAAAATCAAAACAATTAAAATGTTGGGAAGAATTTTTTAACTATATATTTAGCATTATTTGCACATCTGTCTTCAGCAGTCTGATTAAAATTTAATCAGCATTTCTTGTCAGACACCAGGCTGGGTGCTTTCAGAATCTGTGTAACTGGCTCCCAACACTTTCACTCTCTAGAAAGCACATGAGAAGAATATCACCCCCTTTGCAAGGATTTTCAAAACTGACAGTGGGAATGGGGAGAGGGGGGTCATGACACTTGAAAAAGAGTAAATCGGAATCTCTAAGGTGAGGTGGTGATACAGACAGAGCCCAGGTGAAAGTAAGAGAGGCAATTCTGATTCAACACCCATCCCTGGTTAAGAATTACTGATTCCTTCATCTCATTTGTTCCTTTATGCATTAAGTGAAAACTTTTTAAGTATTGCCTTGAGGTAGACACTGGGCCATATAAACTAAATCATTGTTTTCTATTTCCCATTAAATCTTATTAAGTCTTCTAGTTAGAATTATAAGTTGAGTACCCATGGTAACCCAGCAGATTCAATTGCCTTGCCAGCAAAACCAAAATTCCTGAAACTTGATACAATCTATAAATTGATCACTATGGATCTTCTCACAGGTCAAGGAGTCACTTATTCACACAGAAAAATTTAAATCCCTCTAACACAGACATCCTCTCTTCTTCCTGATAAGTTAAATTTCATAAAATCTCCAGAGGGTGGAAGTCCACAAACCCCACCACTTCAAAAAAAAATGGAGAGGAACGGGAGGACATCTTTCTGGGCGTGGTGTCCGGTGTCACCTGGATAGCCTTGCCCTGGGGCCTCCTACAGGAGCTGCCGCTGGCCCAAGCATAGCTCCTACGGCAGCTCTAACACCGAACGTCTCCTAGCCCAGGTGTTCTGCTTTTCCAGGCCTCCGGGGCTGTGTAGGACATAAGCATAAGCATCTGTAGTGTCAACCACTTTCGAAAAAGAAAAAAAAAAAAAGAAAAACATAAGAAAATCCCAGAACCAAATTTGACTATTATAGTCCCTTGTTATCTAAGAATCATTGTCTCTATTAAATAGCATTTTCACCCCCCAAACAAGTGATCGTCCCCCAACCCCAGTACACTTTGCTGTCAAAGTTACAATGCCATCACCAGCCACAGAGAGGACAAGGATTCAGTGCGATCTGGGGTTACAGGTAAGAAGGAGCATCAGAGCCAGGGGAGAAATCTGGCTTCCTTCTGTTGTCACCAGAGTGTGAGGAAGTTCATGTCAGTTTCTACAGCCCTGCACAGGTGAATTTAAAACTCGGCTAGGGGAAATCTGGATGCCTGGACTCCTCTAAAGGAGTCCCATTCTTGTGTAATAAAATATCTTTCAATTTAACCTATCACTGAAGCTTCTCTCTTCTTTGAAGCTTAAATAAAAGGTGGGAGGAAGAAGAGACCTAAGCCCCAATAAGGAAAAGCATGTTCAATGATTTCAGTAAGTTATAAGGAAGAACTTCCTGAACCACAAGGTAGCTAAAGAAAGAAAGATTTTTAATAATGAGGGATATGGGGGCGCCTGGGTGGCTCAGTCGTTAAGCATCTGCCTTCAGCTCAGGTCATGGTCCCAGGGTCCTGGGAGAGCCTGCTTTTCCCTCTCCCACTCCCCCTGCTTGTGTTCCCTCTCTAGCCATGTCTCTGTCTGTCAAATATATAAATAAAATCTTTAAAAATAATAATAATAATGAGGGATATGGATTTCTCATATGGAGATTAATATTCCTAAAGTGTTTGAGTTTGAAACCTATTCCAAAGTAGAGGGATGCCATCTAGAACTACCAAGAGCAAATTACTAAAAAAGAATAGGATAGAATACAACAGAAAAAACGCAACTGATACAATAGGAAAAGACAGGCTGGAAACATAAATATAAATGAAAAAGACCTGAAAGTTTAGTCCCGGCCCCTAGATCTTTAAACAGGCATCTTTAGAGCAACTTCTTCCATAGCGCTAGGGGCTTTAAAATTCTGACAATCTTCAACAGCTAAAAGTGCTACCAAAAAAGCCAAACTCAGTATTTTTTTAAATGTGAAGATAGTCTTTGCAAAGTGCCTCTCTACTGCGTTTATCTTTATGCCTTAATAACAATCACTTTTACTTACTCCCTGCCCACATCCCCACCCTACCCCAAATCACAGGAGCATCTGTAACACAGGCATCCGAAAGCTTCCAGATGTTACAAAGATCTTCTCCTCTGAATTTAATTTCATTCTGTAAGTACCAGGCTGATTGCTATGCATAACAGTTTCCTATTTGCAGCTAAAATTTGGAAAGTAAATATTTCTCATTTTATTCCTCCAGGGAAATTTGTGATAACTTACACATAACCACCATACCAGAAAATGCTTTTCAAGGGATGAATAACGAATCCATAACACTGTGAGTAAAATCCCAGATTCATGTTCTGCCATTCAGGCTCCTGCTATTCTTGCTTCTAGCTTGAGGTGAGCTCTTTCTCATCTTTTACCACGTTCTTCATTCACTGGTAACATTCTTTATGACCTAAAATGCTAGGGTGAGAGCAGTTGTGCGGGATTGCAGCTGTGTCATGTGTTCACACAACCACGAACTGACCCATTCGGTTTAAAATTAATCAGACGGGCCCTGAGGATTGACAGTGACCAAATTTCCAACTGATGAAATTGTTCACTGCATCAGTGGAATGCTTTGAAGCTGGGAAGAGACAGCCGGGAGGGAAATGGCTGCCCTGGTTCAAAGAGCAGAGAAATTTCAAGTTTCAAATGAGAAGTTTGGAACGATATTCTCCAAGTAGGTAAGATAGTTGATCGATAGAGCCTGCATTCACTCGCTTACTCTCTCTGATTTTTTACTTTGCTTCTGAAGAGCACCATCTATGCCCATTCCCTACATCCCTTAATACTTGAAAACAGTGTCTTTTTATTTGACAATCACTCCTCAGGTTACCAGGCTCATAGGCCCTACCCCTTTTATGCTCTTTCCTAAGGCCTTGCTATTCAAAGTATGGTCCATGGACCAGCAACTACTGTATCTTCTAAGAGCTGGTTAGACATGCAGACTCTCAGGACGCAGAACTACTAACTCAGAATCTGCAAGTTCCCAAGTGATTCACATGCACATAAAGTTCACAGGGAACTGTACTAAGATAACCCAACCTACTCTCTTCACCATTCATCTGCCTGACTTCCTTCCCTCTGGGGTCCCTGCCATCTGCACATGGAGCACCTGCCTTTGCCCCACCATTCAGAAGGAGCGTTCTGGGCACCATGTCTCACTTGTATCCAAAGTCCAATGACCCATACTTAATTCTTTTCCCCACATCCATATCCCTCTCACTCTTTCTACTTTGGTTACAGCTCATGGCAGAGTTGTAATGAATCAATAAATGAGCTTGCCCTTAAAGAAAGAGAGAGCACACATTGGATGACCCCAAAATGAGAAGATAGTTGTGAAGCAAGAGAAGAGACCATCTCAGAGGACTCTCTTTTATAACATGGATTTTAAATATTGGTATCAATGTACATTGCATTTGAATAGTACTTTTTACTTTGTGTAGGTATAATTCCACACATTTAATTGTCACATTACAAAGCTGTAGCTCATGCAGACCCAGCTCAGAGTATTGCAATCAGGGAATACAGAGCAGTAACCAAAAAAAAAATTTTTTTCAAGATAAATTCTTTACTTGCAGCTCTTAAACACCAGGAAGGATAAAGGAGATCCTAGAAAATCTCTACAGTCTTTCTGCTCCTCTACTTTCCTTACACACTAAAGCTCTTCCAGCTCTATTTTATAAAGTATTTCCAACACACCATTGCATGTATCTAGAACTACTCATTTATCACACCCCCGTCAGAAACAGAGCAAAGACTGCATGGGGAGGTACCACATACCTTAGGATTCTTTAGTGAGAACACAAAAGACATAAGATCCATATCCCCAAGGAGTTCAGAATCTCAATTATGAGGAAATGGAGAAATTATGGGGGTAAACATGAAAGAATGAAAGAATACTACAAACCAGTAGATATTCACTGTGAAAGTTTGTGTTACGCAGAAATTAGAAGTCTTAGAGAAGTCCTCTTGGGCTGGAAAAGTCAGAGGAGGCTGCACGGTGGAGCTGAGACTTGAGTTAGACCTCATAGTATCAGTAACATTGGTATGGGTAAATGTGATAATAGCAGCTAATATTTATACAGCACTTAGTAAATGCCTGCACTATTTTTAAGTACTTTTTAAAAACTTGTTTACATCTCACAGCAACCCTATGAGGTAGGGACTATCAGCCCCATTTTTAGATGAGGAAACCAAGGCACTACGGGGTTAAGTAATTTGCCCAGGGTCAGGATTTAGACTCCGTCTGGCTCCAGAATCACAGTCTTAACCATTATGTGGTACCACATACCAAGAAAAGGGGAGCGTGTAGTCTAAGTGAGGGGACATCATGAGCAAAAGTATGGCTGTGGGAAAGAGGACAACAAGGTATGTCTTACTTATTGGGGAGTACACACCCAGCTTAAGAAACAGGAAATAGGTTTAGATAAATGGCAGAGGTGGAGGGGACATTGGATTGCTGAGTCTTGAATGCTGGGATAAGGGATTAAAAGCTTAGAAGTAACTCTGACAAAAGTAATAAGAAACCACCCAGTAGAGTAGCCTTTATTCAAAGATCATAAATATCCAAGACTTCCTTTGATTTTGACCTAAATCTAAAAATAATCAGGACCCAAATGGTACTTGTCCCAGGTAAATGTACAGCCATAGGAATGAAGTGGAAATGGAATGAATGAAAGGACAGAAGATGTGGAGAACAGTCAACAAGAAAATGAATGTTGGGATGATCCACAGGGTCCTCGTGAGCAATCAAGACTGGACCAACCCACCAAACTCAAGGAACAACAAAAGATTCCTTTCACACATCACATTTCAGCATGTGCACATGAGAGCTGCACAGTATTTTTATTATGGGGCTATTAACTTATGTTAGTTATGATTTTAAGAAGAATAGTGCTTACCAGCAGGGCATAATTGCCCCACATCTGAAGTTAATGAGGATTGCAGATTCATCTCTCCTAATGGGCCCAGGGGGCATTGGACTTCCATCCCCCTCCTCACTCTCAGCCCTTCATCTGGAGGGGGAGTGATTAGTCATTTGCTAGGCACTTGTTCTCAGCTGAATGGGCCCTTCTGTAAGCGAAGGATCCTGTGGAGCACCCTGTTGGAGAAAGGGTATTACACTTAAAGAGGAAAGCTTTATTTTCTCAGCTATAAAGTGCAACTTCCTAATTAGGAGCCTTCTCTCTTCATTATTAGTAGTATTGGAGATTTTGCTTTTTGTGGAACCTTTCTTGTCCTCCCCCCACCCAAATCTTTACCAACTGTGAGCTCATTTAATGAAAACAAAACACTTCACTTGATGCTGGAGAAGCTCAGTGGGGTTAATGCTAAAACTATGCATTATACTCTTACGTCCCTTATAGCCACTTTGGCTTTTCATTAAATCTCCTCAAGAGGCTACCTTGAAATGTACCCCCTGAGCAAGCAGGATGTGGCTGCACCACCTTTAAAATATTCTAGATGACTGGTCATACCAGTCTCAAAAAAAGAGACAACTTTGATTCATGTCTGAACTCCACAAAGAGAAGGAAAGGTCGTGACAGCTAATTCTCAGAGAAAGAATGCCTGGCAAAGGATGGCAAGCTTCCAGGCTGCACCTGTGATAAGCCACACTGAAGAGACTGCTGGGTGTTGAAACAGAAAGCCTGGGTTCTAGTCCCAGCCCTGTGTCTAATGACCTCTAGGCAAGTTATACCACCCAGACATGCCTCTGTCTCTGTGTATCCAATGGGATTAATACTTCTTGTGTAAATTCAACCACATCGTGTCAACTACATGGCACCACCATGATTAAAAGCTAATATTCAGCAAGCCAGTTGTTTTAGACCATCCTGAAAACACCATGTCTCATCATCTCTTTAAATATTTTTAAATTTTCAGTGGACAAGTGGAGTCGCTTCCCACTTGTCTTTCCAATAACACCCCTATACAACTTACCTAGATTTACCAACTATTAGCAGCTTGCTACACCCACCCCATCTCTATATGTGTAAGTATATACAACATATTTCTTTTTGGCCAAACCATCCAAAAAAAGTTTATAGATATTATGACACTTCATACCTTAAATAGTTCAGCGTGTAACTCCCCAAAACAGGGACATTCTACGTAACTACATTATACACGCACACCCCCAAAAAAACAAAAACAAAAACAAAAAACCATGAATTTAATGACATTGTCCAATCTACAGTCCCCATTACAATGAAAATGTCTTTTATAGAATTTTTTTTGACTCAGAATCCATTCAAAATTTTATGCACTGCATTTTCACTATTATGTCTCTTAGTGCTCCCAACCTCACCTCCTACCCCACCCACGAAGATCTGCTCCCCGACTTTCCTCTGTTCTGTATGACACCAATTCCTTGAAGGAGCCCAGGCCAGTTGTCTGGATTCATCTGACTGTATTATCAGGATTAGATTCAGGTCAACACTTCTGCAAGAACACTGCAAAGGGCATGCTGTGTCTCTCCCAGTTTATCAAACCAGAAGGCACATCATGCCATGCCCCTTGGCCATTTGGTTAAAGTGTGACTGTCAGACATCTTCATTGTAAGGGCACATTTTTCCCTTTGTCATTAATAATAAGCGATAGTGGGATACTTTGAGTTGGTGCAACTAGCCCATTGGCCAAAAACTTTTCAGCTAACGGTTTCAGCATCAAATGATTATTCGGTTATTATGCAGGGAGTTACAAAAGGGAAGTTTTAAATTTCATCATTCTTCTACATTTATTACCAGCACTCTTCTGTAAAAAAAAGAATCCTCTCCTTCTCTCTCGATCTCTCTCTTTTTTAAGTATCACTGTGGAAGTAGATTTTTTAAAAAATTTTATTCAATATATTACAATCCATTGCAGTCATCATTCTTTTGGATGCCTGACATCTTTTTGTTATTACATATGGTAAAGTCATATAAGATGACATGAACTTGGCTGAGGGAAACTTGAAGGAAAACATAACAACTCAGCGCTGCTGAAAGGCAGGAGGTATGCCCACATTAGAGAGAGGATTTCCTTGCCATTGAGTCTGTGAGCCCCACAGAAATGGGGGAATTCTGATGAACATTCAAAACTAGGGTCACAGCAGCATATAGAGATCAGCCTGGTGACAGTGAACTGGTGACAAGTTATCCATACAACCACGGCCAAGGCATCCACTCAAGAAGTGTCTTCATACACTTCATACACAGGAATTATTCAGGTATAAAAGGACTCCAGCAAAATACCACCAGAGAAGAATGTGATGAATTTAGGATCCCTGTTCTTTAAGTAGGTATCTGTATAGTCATTTGATAAAAATTTGCTTATAGATATATCACCATGGGACATATTTTCTAAAATAGAAACCCTGAGGCCACTTTTTGAGACCCTGCAAATCTGCAAACACATATTAAGTTTTTTTCTTTAAAATCATCCAAAAACTAGGTGCTTACATGATCCAAAACGGAACCATGGCAGATCATCTAATACTGTTAATACAACCCCAGAA